AAGAGAATAAATTAATAATGTTTACTAAGTAGAACCAGACTTAGGAGTGTCCAGATATCTCAATATCTGGAGAACAAAGGCATTCCTAAGTTTGCTTTAAGGATAATATCGAGTTGCCTATTGGCATAATGGCTCATGCCTGAAATCTCAGTACTTTGGGAGGCTGAGCCGGGTGGATCTCCAGAGGTCAAAAGTTCAAGACCAGCCTGGCTAACATGGGAAAACCCGACTCTACTAAAAATACAAAAATTACCAGGGTGTGTTGGTGTGTACCTATAGTCCCAGCTACTCCAGAAGCTGAGGCAGGAGAATCGCTTGAACCTGGAATGCATAGGTTGCAGTGAGCTGAGATCGTGCCATTGCACTCTAGCCTCGGCAACAAGAGGGGACCTCCGTCTCAAAAGAAAAAACAAAGATAATATTGAGTCTCACAAAATATAGTACTTAAGAAAATTAACTCTTTATCACAAACCCTTGTTGGCAGAGCACATCTCCCCATACATACAAACATTGTACCTAGGATGGATGTGTTCCTCCTCCTCCTTTCAGGAATGTCCCACTCTGCCTGTGGAATAGCTGTTCTTTCAGCACTTTGCTTTTCTAATAAACTTGCTTTCACTTTGCACTGCAGACTCACCGTGAATTATTTTTTCCACAAGATCCAGGAACACTCTCTTGGGGTCTGAATCTGAGTCTCTTTCCTCTGACAAAATCAGTAATAGAAATTTGCCATTTGGATTCAGGTGCAGTGGCTCACTCCTGTAATCCCAGCACTTTGGGAAGCCCAGGTGGGCGGATAACTTGAGGTTAGGAGTTTGAGATCAGCTTCACCAACATGGCAAAACCCTGTCTTTACTAAAAATACAAAAATTTGCCAGGCACAGTATTTGGGCCTGTAGTCCCAGGTACTCATGAGGTTGAGGCAAGAGAATCACTTAAACCCCAGAGGTAAAGTTTGCAGTGAGCCAAAATCGCACCACTGCACTCCAGCCTGCGTGACAAAGCAAAACTCAGAACAAATTGCCAACAACAACAACAAAAAGTCCAGGACAAAATAGATTCACAACTCAATTCTGTCAGGCATTCAAAAAATTGGTACCAGTCCTACTGAAACTATTCCAAAAGACAGAAAAAAGGGACTCCTTCCTAAATCATTCTATGAAGCCCGTATCACGCTAATACCAAGACCAGGAAAAGGCATAATAAAAAGAAAACTACACAGCTGTTTCTTTTTTTTTTTTTTTT